GTAGCTACTGCGATAGCTAATATACCAAGCAAAACCATCACTGTCATTCAGCTATGTTTCTCTGAGTAGATGATGCATTTAATTATTTTTTATTTCTCGCTGAAATCAGCCGAGTGTATCGGAGATCTATACGAGTAAATATTCAAATCCAAGATTGAATACTCAGAAACATAGTTGTATCACTTATAGCATGCGCTACACGATTCGAATTAATAAATAAAAAATCAAAATATCAGAGCTATGATATATATACATAGGCAACTACTTGCGAACAGACTCCCCCCCCCCCCCATTTTATTGAGTCAAGTATAATTAGGTAATATGTCGACTGGTTACTAAATGAAAGATTTAGCCAGTAACAGGAGGCTTTGGTGTTGCAAGGCACCTGCGGAAACGCATTCATGAATTGACATGAAATTGTGTATCCTCCTAGTCCGTGTATAATCGGGCTCATCAATGATGAGTGGTTATGCATAACGGAGATGACAGTCTCTGTGCGGCTCTTGTGAGCCAGGGCAACACAAATGAAAACGGTCAAAGGTATATCCCTGTGGGAGTGCAGAGACCGTCGGCTTCGATCAATACATACGTATTGGCGTGGTCGCTAACGACTGGGTTATTTGTGGGTTCTTCAATATGAAGGGCTTAATGTACAGTCTATCCCAACATAAGTCTATTAACAATAGGTACGAGTGTTGCTTTATGTGATCGAATGAATTGAAAATTGAAATTCGGGAAGCATAGAGGCAGTTAGTGATCTTTCAACTAGTTGTGGTATCAGGCGATCTTTCAGCTCGTTTCTAACGATGGTTAAGCTACTACAGCCATCAACAGGGGGCTCTGGTGTTGCAAAGCACCTATAGTAATATATTCATGAATTAACATGAAAGTGTGTATCCTCCTAGTCCGTGTATGATCGGGCTCACAATAAGTGAGTGGTTATACATAACAAAGATGACAATCTTTGTGCGGCTCTTATGAGCCAGGGCAACACAAATGAAAACGGTTAAAGGTGTATCCAGCAATGGAGCGCAGAGACCGTCGGCTCCGATCAATACTTACCGTATTGACGTGGTCGCTAACGACTGGGTCATTTGTGGGTTTGCTTATCAAGCAGGCTTAATGTACAGTCTAGCCCAGCATAAGTCCGGGTAACGCCGGGTACGAGTGCTGCTTTATGTGATCGGATGAATTGAAAATTGAAATCTGGGAAGCATAGAGGCATTAGAAAGGTTATAATGCGTATTCGCGTATGGATCAGCTTTTGCTGGCCAATCAGCTACTTCGTGACAACATCGCTGCTGTCAAGGCCCGTAAGGCCGCCGGCGGTGAGGCCGACCCGAACCCCACCCTTGCGGACCTAGAACGTTCGCACGTTCTATTTGTCAATGCGCACCACAAGCCGTATGTTGCCATTGCATTCCAATACTTCAAGGTATCGGCCAACAACGTTACGCTTGGTTCGGACGTTTCGATCTCGATCCCTCAATACGGTGATTTCTTCGCGGACATGGTTGCCAACGTTGTCATCCGCGCGCCCACTACGTCTTACTCGGGCGGGTTCGGCGACGACTCTGACTGCGTTATTTACCGCCACTGTGATTACCCTGGTGAGCGTATCTTCGACGAGGTGCGCTTCGAGGTCAACTCGAACCCCATTGACTCCTACACTAGTGAGACCTATGTACTCCACCGTCAGTTCAACGTTCCTCAGGACAAGCTTGCTGCCTGGAAGCGTTGCATGGGCCAGGAGACCCCGATGCAAGCCCGTGATTTCCTCCAGGAGACTGGCGGTACTAAGGCCCCTGTCACCAAGCACACGAAGACTGAAATCTACAACGGCTACCAAACATTCAAGGAGACCCACAATGATCTTAACCTATGGATCCCGCTTCTCTTCTGGTTCAACACCGATATCCGTCTTGCGTTCCCTTCGGTGTCGGTACCCTACGGTCAGCGTTTCATTACGTTCAGCCTCACGCAGGCCTCGAACCTTTACCACGCTATTTTGAATCCTGCTCGTACCACGACTACGATCACCAGTCCTCGTCTATCGACGCCGCAAATCTCTACCTTCGATCTTTACATTAACAACCTTTTCGTACTACCGGAGGTACACGACATCTTCATCGACCGTGTTGCTTTCACGCTAGTGCGTGTACACCGTCGCCAGACTCAGAACCTTAACAAGAGCTCGGAGAGCATCCACCTTGTTCAGCTTAAGTGGCCTATTGAGTCGCTTACGTTTGGCTTCCAGCCCACGGTTAACCGTGCTAAGAACACTAATCTTGAGGCCAACAGTGATCAATCGTCGTCAGTATCGAGCGACATGGAAGACAGGCACCGCTTCGGTGTTGTGTCCAACACGCAGATGCTCGCTGCTGACTTCCTTGGTAGCATGGGCGCCCTTGGCCTACTTGTAAAGGAAGAATCGAGCCACATCACAACGCTACAGCTACAGGCGCACTCCGTAAATCTATTCTCCACTTTCCCGGCGGCCTTCTTCAACTCGTACATTCCGTACCAGTTCGGCGGAAGCGCCCAAACGGCTCCTACTGATCCGGGTTTGTACTACTACAGCTTTGCCCTATACCCCAACCAGTACCAACCCTCCGGACACTTCAATGTGTCTCGTGCCCGTGAACTCTACTTGAACTACACTTCGTCGTTCATTAGCTCTGACGCTAACCACACGGCTACCTTCTTCGTACAGGCGAAAACAATTAATTTCTTGCTTATCAGCGAAGGATCTGCCAGTTTGAGATACTCGACTTAACACCTTGTCTCCGAACGGTACTCGCCTCTGACGCGTAAGCGCATGTCGTAAGTTACGACGTACAGAAGGACTTGGCATTTGTATAGACCATGTGTTTCAGGTCGGGATAGGTGTATAAATTGTCAGCAGGTTTTCCGGTCAATGTCGTCAGTGATACGGCATTGTGAGAGAGAAATCGCTGCCCAATGTCGTAACGTACTTCACTTGCAGGCAACAGATGGCTGAGGAGGTGCACTGATCTGCAGCTCATTTTAGAGAACGCATGAAAGAAGGTACGCTGGCTCAACAAACTTTGCATTCAACCACACGAAGCTGACCACTCATCTACTGAAACGCAGCCTACGCGGTCACTCATCATTGCTGTCAGAGTCAGAGCCGCCGCCATCGCTTCCTCCCTCGCGGGCGAGCTGCAGTTCCCGCCGTGTCTTCTTGCGCTTTCCTGCGTTCTTGCCGGGCCGGCGCAGCACGACGCGCTTCCCCAGGCTGGCCGGAATGTCTTGCCCGGCGCCGAAGTCATCGTGCCAGATCTCGAAGCAGGTCTTGGCGACGCCGTTGTAGTCGCGACGGATCTTGTTGCAGAGCCAACACTTGGCGTTGTCGATCGAGCAGCGCTCGCAGAAGAACGTCGTCGCGAAGGACTTCTTCTTCTCGGTGCGAAGGAGCGCGCAAACCTTACAGGACCGTTGGCGTCGCTTCTGAACGCCGGTGACGGTGACCCAGTCTTCCGACTGCTCGAGTGCGTGCGCAAGGCGAACTGGTGTTCGCCTACGCTTCCGACGGGAAGGAGGTGGCGTCGCTTCGACCCCTGCAAAATCCTCGGCCTTCAGTTGCAGGAGCTGGTTCTGCAGGACTGTGAACCACTCTGAGCGCTTCATCGAGCTGGTGCCCTTGATCTTGGCCGCCTCCTTGTGGGTCAGGAACGCGTTCACCAGCGCCAGATCGAGGAACCCCAAGAACAAGCCCTTGTAGTACTTAGTGAACCGCGTAGACATTTGCAGAGAGAAGCTCTGGAGACGGAGTTGATCGTGGCGATCTACTCCGCCCATCCAGTTCTGGTAGTCCTTCACCGACTGGGGACATCCAACTTGAATCGCGCCCACCCGCTTGACCTTCCTCTCGAGCGTGGACGACGTCATGGCGGAGCCCGTGCAGAGGTAGTAGACCGGCTTGCGGTCCCACCAGAGGCACGAGACCATTGAGGGGATCGAAACAGAGCGCGTGAAGACGAACGAACCCCTTGGGATGCTTGCAGGGCGGGTCTTGTGCTCGGACTTGATGCTCTTGGCGAAGCCCAAGCGGTTTGTCATGATCGTTCCGACGACGTACACGTTCATCTTGAGCAGCTCCACGGCGAGAAGAACCGAGGTGTAGTATCGGTCGATGATCACAGCATGCCAGTTGTGGCGCGATTGAGGAGTGAATGCAGCCTTCAGGTTCCGCAAGACAGCCGCTGCTCCAGTCTTGGCGTCAATTCCAGTATCTCCTCCATCGTTGTTCCGCTTGCCCACATAAACTTCGAATCTAGATCAGTTACGACATAAAAATGTGTTAGCATTCATTGCACGTCGTAACTTACGACATAGAAAAAAGATGAAAAAAACCTGTGGCAGTACGCTGTCTTTGCGTCACACAACATAAATAGTTTGGAGCCGTATCGGTGAGGCTTGTCCGACATGAACATGCGCGTCGTGTTGCGCTTCGACGTGGCAGGAAGAACGCCTTCGTCAAAAGAAAAGATAGATGGAAGCGACCAACCAGCCAAGAAGCATTCTTGGATCTTGTCCACTACAGGACGCAGCTTCCACAGTTTATCGCGACCGTGGTCAGCGGTGTTGTCGACGAAGTGAAGGTCACGCAGGATATTTTGGCAGCGATCGCGCGACATGTACCGCCCGAAGAGTCCGGCTGGAATGGCGCCATCCTCAACCATGGACCAATGCGCAGCAAAGCTCCTCTTCTGAGGACACAACATGCGCGCCACTAAAAGCCCAATTACATGCAAAATCTCGTGGGTACCGTACTCCTCGGGTGCTTTCAAGCGCCATGCAATCTGAGCGGCGGTCTCACGTTGACGTCCGGTCTGTCGCGCCGCCATCCTTTCCGCTCGCTTCTCAACTTGCTGCAAAAAGTAGCGGTTAGTCTCCTTCGCGATCGAAACCCACACGGTTTTCGGTACGAAGAAAAATAGTGTCAGGAGTGGCGATCGCCACATATCCAGCAGCTCTCCAACAGGTCGGGCCCCGTCCTCACCCAACCCAGGGTACGCAGGAGTATCGGTCTCGAACGCTGTCACGGCTGGGGTCCACTGCATTGCCCGAAGCGCTGCCGCGCGCTGTGTGAGAGCTACTTTGCTCAGTTCAACGTTATCACCAATATGCAGAGACGCCAGAAAAACCTCGTCCATCTCGGCGGCGTTGCTGTCAGATATTTCATCGCCCCCCTCCTCATCGAACTCGTCGCTTCCAGAGTCGCCGTCGTCGTCGCAGATGCCAGCACTATCGCTCTCATCAGAGCTGAAGTCCTCATACTCACTGCTGTTCTCCCCGTCCTGCAACACGTTCACGTCGGCGTCGAGTTTCAACGGGACCCGTGCTCGCCGTGGAGGAGCAATAGGAGAAGTAACAGCACGTTCATCCTCCCCCTCACTCTCCAATCCCGACGCGTCCGACAGCAGGTGCAAGCTGGCTGCTGCGTCTCGCTGCTCATCGTCAGCTTGCAGGTCTCTCTGGGAGAGATCAAATTCTCTCGCTACCGCCGCCTGCGATAGTTCGATCTCCGGCTCGGAGGAGCCGAACATATGTTCGATCGTAGTCTGCGATAGCAGAACACTAGTGTCGATCTGAGAGGGTCTAATCACGGCGTCGTCGTCGCCACCGCCACCACCCTCCTCTCCAACATGCTCTCCGCCACCGCCACCCTCTCCAACATGCTCCTCCCCGTGTTCACCGCCACCACCCTCCTCTCCAACATGCTCTCAGCCACTGCCATCCTCTCCAACTTGCTCCTCGTCGTCCACCAGCAATCCCGACTCGAAGGCGTACTCCACTACGGCACACTCACCCACCAGCACGTTCTCGCCCTCCGGGCTTTTGTATGTCCACTCCGTCTGAATGCCGGTCGGCCGCTTCGACGTCCACCCCGCCGCCCTGAGCTGCCGCCATAGATGTCCGAAGTCAATGTCATGTGGTGCCGCGACGGGGGCGGCGGGTTTCTCTCGGCGACTGGACCGCATGCTCGCCAGTCCGCAAATTCTTGAATGAGCGGTCTGGACCAGGCTGGCATCCATCACCGGGTGATTCACCCATCCGAACCCATCCTCTGACCCGGTTTTGTGAACTTGTCGCAGAGACCTCTCGCAGCTTATATGCTGGGGTTGTCTGAAAAACAATTGATTAAAGTAAGGGAAAATTGTGCTCATACTTTAATCAAGTGCAACTCGCTTAATGTCGTAACTTACGACATAGCAAAAATAGCATGTCATAACTTACGACGTTAGGAGACAAGGTGTTAAGAAGTCTATTAAGCATTATCATAACCCATGTTTTTTTGCTCTCGCAAATAAGCATAAAATTGATGTTTAATATTCATTAATATAGCACATACTGCTTCCAAATACACCTCAACTCTTAGTTATCGCCATGGCTATTCGTAAAACCATCGAAGAATTGCCTGCCGACGCAATCCCTTGCGATGGACCGCTAATGTATCATCAAGATAAACACGTTTCTCCTGATGGAAGATTATTTACAGTTCATCCAACTACCGGTACTATCGAAGTAGCTACGCCAACAGATAATCATCAGTATTATGCATGGTGTAATGCAAAGCAGCGCTTATCCAATGGCTCAATTATCGACATGGATAAGATAACAGGCTTCTACAGACTAAACAAGGGCGATGGTAGAGTACTAATTAGGGCTCTAGTCGCGTATTACTTCGTAGAGCGTTTATCAGATCCCGACGGAATGAGAGCCCATCTTATTGATTCTAATGAGCCAATTAGTCCAGGAAACCTTCGATGGGTAACTGCTGACGAACAAACTCGTCTGAGAATGAACAAACTTCGTAGTAAGGTTGGTACTAATAAATCAAGTGATAAAGAGGATATAGATCTTACAGCATATAAAGAATTTCATGGCTACGTTGTTAAAACTGACGGGACTGAAGTAATTAAACACACAAAGCGGAATGGCTTTAAGAATATTGCGATTCGTGTGGGATCTGATGGATATCATAATGTGACGTTGACTATCAATCGTCAGCAGAAATGTTATCGCCTGAATAGGCTTATAGCAATGATACATCATAGTGAGTCCAAAGAGCTTTCCTCCGATATAGTTATCGACCATATAGATGGAAACATTCTAAATAATGCATTCTCAAACTTAACAATTGTCGATCATGTAGAAAATGTACGCCGCGGCAATAGCGCTACTAACTTTATCAAGGTTGATCCATCCAGTATGCTTATACAGTACTAGAGAATATTCGCTGTATCCGTGAGTACTGCGACGAGCATGATGGATTTGATCATAGAGTAATGTCAATGCGTATCGCCACAGGGGAGCCTTATAACAACTACATTTGGCTAGCATGTGAAGCTATCAATAAGCAATATACTATTGTTAATGATATTGTTCGCTTATTGACGTTAGCCTATCGTATGCAAATTATTCGCGAACAGCTAGATACTCATTTAACTAATGATATTCTTACTGAAAGCATGATACCCATTATAGACGGGATTCCATGCCCAGATAGTAAAGCAATGGATATCATTAACAAGTTAGATCCTCTATTAACAGAGTGTTCAGATGAGTTGGATGCTACCAATGCTACTATCAATGAACATATGCCGTGTTGCAGACTTTTAGCATACAGTGGTACGTCTGATACGCCTCAAATACTGATCTGCTTACGAACGTTAATGTTATTTATCAGAAGTCGTGATAACTGTGGTCAAACAGATCGAAAGTGTCCCTTCTGTGTGTTCGCACGTGATGAATCGGATAGATATAAGTTTGGACATGCGGATCCATGGGCAGGCATTCCTATGTACACTTATCACTCTGCACGAAAGTCTAAAACCAATCCAGAACCGTTGAAGTTTGTTAGTAAGTATCTCACTATTGGTAATGCACTAGACGAGCCCGAAAAGGCAACTCCGGCAAAGGCACTTGTAGTACTCAAACCATTACGATACAGTTTGTTCCAAAGCTCAACTGGTGTCTTTTCAAAAACCAATATCCCTAACAGAGCTAAGTTTCGCGGAACTCTCTATGCATCGTTCTACCCACCTCAAAACGGATTGATGCATGAAGAAAACGCGAACTGGGTCTTACAGAGACGCCTCAATTGTCCTTTATTCGCATTTATGGCAGAATACATCCCAAGTCAATACAGAGATGCTAAAAGCAAAGACAAGGAGGCATACGCAAAGAAGAAAGATGCTTAACTTTCTCCTCATTTGAGAGGGTATATTTTTATGCAAAATGATTAATAGGGCAGGCAACGGCAAGAATAGCAATGATTCCTTTCAACGAGACGTCGACTTTCGTCAGCTTAATGCATCTGAGATAAAAGAATCTTATGGCATTCTAAAGGATGCCATGAAACTGCCCAGCGATTTCAATAATCATAATAAGACTAAGCACCTTCTCGTATCGCCGGTATCGGCCTATGCATCCGTATATTACAAATATCTTTACACTATCTGCTACAAGATGGAAACTGGAGTTGCGATCACGACTTTGAATTCAATCAATATACCATCATGAGCCTGCTCTGTTCGTACAAAGTCGTTATTCAATATATAGCATCTATAGCGACTGATGTTATGAACTTCCTTATGAAATCATCTGAAACGGAATGTATCAGGCAGGAATTAGCGCAACAAGCGTCCGCATCACGAAGCGAACTAAGCGACACTCGTAATGAACTCATCCGTATGTTAGTATCACGAAGCGAACTAAGCGACACTCGTAATGAACTTACGGAACTGATAATCATTAGCAACGGTTATGAGCTCACTACCGCTGAGGACTATATGCTTGAATAACCAATTGATCGCAGTGAATCAGTTGATACGATGATTGATATCCGTTCCGAGTTTGAAAGCTTCTCCGCTCATCTGCACATGGATTAGATTCTTTTTATGTTATTCAAACTACGATAGGCTCAGTAGATTCTTTTTTTTTATAAATGCTTCCATATAACCATGGATCTTATTACCTTAATAAAAAAAAACTAATGGAGACCTTTTAGGCGTGCTTCTGTTTGCGTGTCTTATCATATACTTTATCCTTACAGCGACTACCGCAGTTGAATGGGCGTTGCTTTCCGGATGTTGCATGGCGTTAGTAGTAGATATAAGCATCGTCATTAAGCAGATAAGAGCGAAAGCGTAAAATTGAATAGTATGCTAGCTAATATCTCCTGCGTCTAAAACAATGCTTGCTGCTCTCTACGACTTCGTGTTCCTTCTTCCGTTGGTGGAGAGGATGTTTCCTACCTTAGCTCAAAGAGTACCAAAAGTGCTTATTGGCTTATGCATCCGCATATTACAAGTATGTCTGCACTATCTACTACAAGATGGAAACTGGAGTTGCGATCACGACTTTGAATTCAATCAATATACTATCATGAGCCTGCTCTGTTCGTACAAAGTCGTTATTCAATATATAGCATCTATTGCGACAGATGTTATGAACTTCCTTATGAAATCATCTGAAACGGAATGTATCAAGAACAAACTAAACAAAGTTAGTAATGAACTCAGTGATACGCGTAATGAACTCACTGATACGCGCAATAAACTAAGAAGTCATGATAACGAACTCAGTGATACGCGTAATGAACTCACTGA